GGAGGAATATCCAAGTCGCCTCATGAAACCCTGAACCTCTCGAAAAGCTTCGCGCGGCGCGGGTAAAAAATAACAGCCGAAATCCCTTGCCATCGCATATGCGCCCTAACGCAAGCAAGCCACTACTTCTACTACTACTATTATTATTATTATTATTACTACTACTACTACTACTACTACTACTACAACTACTACTACTACAACTACTGCTGCTGAACACGCTGCACCAGGCACTTGGGACGAGCTTGACGAAAGCATGGCTACAACCAAATGACAACATTTTTTTTTTAAACGCTCTCGACAAAGACCGCACCGTCACTACTGCTGCTGAACATGCTGTGCCACGCACTTGGGGGGCGAGCTTGACGAAATGATGGCCAGAATCAAATGACAATCGTTTTCTTGAAAATGCTCTCGACAAGACGGCACCGACTCTGCTGGTATATATTTTTGGCAGAGCAATCGAGATTCCAACAACATGGACCGCCTTCGCTAAAGATAAAATATCACGAGGAAATATAACAGGGAGGGGGAGGGGGGTACGCAGAACCTATTCCCTTATCCCCACTTCCCCGATCGCATGCTTCATCCTACATGTTTACTTAATTAATGCAAAAACCCTGCGAAGGCTACTGTTGTTTTTAAGCTAGCATCGACCCATCAAGTGTTAAGACTATTATAGTACGGACAGAAGAAGGTACTGGGCACCCTAACCCTAATCCAACTTACCCCATTGTATACTTCATCCAACATGTTTACTTAAGTACAAAAAACCCTTGCGAAGGCTACTGCACAAGAGGCCCGTGTGTGTGTGTGTGGAACCTACTATTACGCAGACAGACCCTCTCCCTATATTCCCACTTCGACGATTGCATGCTTTATTCAACATGTTTACGTAAAAGAAAACACCCTCCGAAAGCTACTGGAAAAAAGGGGGGTGTTGTATCTGATGCAACCTACGGTACCTACGGTTATGGTACGCACTTGGCGAGCTTGGCAGCTGCGGTGGTTTTCCCGGTCCCCTGCAGCCCCGCCAGGAGGATCACGGTGGGCTTTCCGTCCGTCCTTCTCGCCAGCGGAGCCTGCTCGGCGCCCATGATCTCCACCAGCTCGTCGTTCATCACCTTCA